CTGCGTGAACTATTCATATCTTAAACTGCACTGTAACTTTTTATTCATGTATTTTTTCTTTTAATGTTTCTTTTATTATCTTTTATTTGTAATGCCTTTTTCTGAATGTCTTTCATTTTTGTAAAGCACCTTGAATTGCCTTGTGTTGAAAGGTGCTATATAAACTTGCCTTGCCTTGCCTTCTGTAGGAGCCAATTAAATGTGGGTATAAAGGTAGGAACCTATGTGTGTTGGTGAGAGGTTCCGCCGGAAGGCCCATACAGTTTTTGACCACACACGGAGAGCACACTCACAAACACAGGATTAAAAACAAAGCAAAAGGTATTGTGTAAACCATAAATATCGTGTGGTGAATGAAACAAAGAAACCAGTAAAAAAGGGAAATAAATGGACTATTTCGAACTGGAAACGTTGGTTCTGACTTGTATTCGGCAGCAAACAAGGTGTGCGTAAATTACACTCACCAAGCAGATCCTCAGAGGCTTAAAGCGTTAGCTTAGCCTCTACATATAGTCAAAAACTAGCCTTTTTTGGAGTAACACAAGAAGACATTTTTTCGTTGCGTTTATCGAACGCTGAGAGCGGCTGCTCACCTTCTACCAGACGCCGAGAGGAGGAAAACAACACGCAGGCTGCTCAGCTGTTAGCAGCCACCTGACGCCGAGAGGAGGACGGCTACAACTCGTTTTAGGCCATAAGGTGAACCCTGTTATCGTTTCAACCCACTCCACAGAAGTGAAACTACACAATCTTTAGTTCATAAAAAAGAACGAGTCATGCTTATCCACCAAAAAAAATATCGTCGCTAAAATTCCTGCCAATTCTTCTAGGCACGTAATTATTGGCTGAACTAGTCCCTTCGAAGCGTAATAATATCTTGGTCCAAAGTCGTGCCACGGTTCGTCACGTGATCGTGCTACACCAATTGGGTAGCTGCATATTGTCAACAGAAGTGAAAGATGGCGGCCGCCATGGTTACGCTAAACCAGACCAAATGGATTCTAAACAGTGCTGTATGCTTGTTTTATGTCATGTTTTGTCATATGTCTTAATACATCACTAAGTCCGAGGTATTTGCGTTATATACGCGGTATTTGTGAGAGGTTTTACTATCTGGGAACAGAGTTGACCATCGAATCAACATTGACTAGCAGCGTTTATCAGCCAACTCCAGCTACAAAACAATTTCCCCACGGGGATTAATAAAGTATATCAAACTCATATTTATCAAACTATCATTCCTGGACTGCCATGTTCACATCGCTAGGTTCATTGGGATTATTCCATTAGACTGAGGACTTTTGTCTGTCTGTTGTTACCCTGTACACGTTAAATGCACTCTTAAAATAAACATGACTTGATTTCTGCGTCCAAGAAGAAGGTTAACTTGTTACGTTAAGTAATTTAGATCAATAAAATGCAGTACTTCCAGGCTGAAGACTTTTCTTTTTGTTGCTGCTTTTAATTGAACTATTCATATCTTAGACTGCACTGTAACTTTTATCCATGTATTTTTTCTTTTAATGTTTCTTTTATTAGCTTTTCTTTTGAATGACTGATTTTAAATGCCATTTTCTTAATGTCTTTAATTTTTTGTAAAACACTTTGAATTGCCTTGTGTTGAAAAGTGCTATATAAATAAACTTGCCTTGCCTTACTTATACCAATGTCCATTGATTCATTTATTTACTCATTCATCCCTCCACAAATGAAAACAACACTGATGAACCATAAAAACGAGATTTATTACAAATATAAAAGGTATGACATAGAAAACAGTAGAAGGACATGTAATGTAGTATAATTGATTGGTGTCAGGCTGGGCGGAGCGGCTGATTGGTGCTGTGATTGCCTCAGCTGGTTAAAAGAGTCCTGCTGATTATACTCTGTTCTAGTACCAAAAACAAACGTATCTATGAGTGATGTGTGAGCGCGTCGGCCAGGCACTAAAACCAAAAGAACAGAAAAGAGCTTAAGAAAGATGGAAAGAAGGCTCTTTTATTCCTATTCCTCACTGTCAGTGTCAGGGCAGTCATCGTTCTCTTCCTCTGTTTCTTTTTTATTTGCACAATTTGAGCAACGACATAAGTCTGTGCAACAGAGTCCTGCAGAGAAGCATGAACATCTGCCTTTCTCACAGGCAGACTCTTTGCAGCTGCAGTGTATCACATGCAACACACTGTCAGGGGCAGGATTTCTTGTCATCCAGGTGACGTGTAAGTTCCCATCCTCTATTTCCCAACCATATCCAGCAGGTGATGGAGCATTCATTTCTCTTTTGAGACAGGACCTCATTATTGCTGCCTGGTAATTTGCCCTTTTGCAGTGCTGATGGAGGGCATCATGAGTAGGGGGAATGCTTAATTCTGGCAAGGCCGATGATGCCATACAGAAAGCCTTGTACCTAGCATCATTTACATGTTCGGCTGCTGGCTGATCATACAGGTGACATACATACCGGCAAAGAAGTGCAAATGTTGATTGCTCCAAGTTAAAGTTAGTACCTACACTTCTAAAAGCCTTAAGGTAGTCATCTTTCTCACATGCAACAGCAAATGACTTTCTTTTGCCTTTGCCATAGAAAGCGCTTGTGGAGTCACACCCAGAGAACGTGTGAATTCCAATCAAGGCTGAACACACACTGGTTCCGAGAGCTGATGACACCATGGCAATGTCAATGATCCGTGTCCTGTTGCCAGTCCCTGTGAACACATATAAGCTGCATGGCAAATCTGCCTGCAGACTTACAGCAATGACTGCCACATCAGTGTCCGAGCTCTTGATGATGACAGCTTTGTGCTCCTGTGCAGCATGTTGGGCATGTAAAAACACCCGTGTGTCACATTCCTCATGATCACACTGCAGGTCTTCAACAACATCAACAGACTGTACACCCTCCATGACAGTTACACAGTGGCATTGATTTTGATGGGCAATGTACAAGCTGAGGTTTTTATCCACTGTTGTGAGGTCTGCATGTGTCCATGCCACATAAAGGAATTCGGCCAGTGCTTCCTTATTTTTTCCGTCAGAGAGAAACTTCTTCCACTGGGTTGGAGTTCTCTGATCTGGGCTGAAGATTGTTATTAGTTGTGACCCTGCATCAGCTCTACGGGACCGTTCTAGGCTTTTGATGCTGATGGGTGGATACCGGTCAGTGACAAAATCAATGCGTGTACACTTGTGATGCAAAGCAAGTTGGAGTATGCTCTGCAGTATGGTCTCTGCAAGCTCTCCAAATGTTGCTGGTCTGGATGGCATGGCCTGCATGACTGCCATGCCATCAAAAAGAATGGCACCACCTATTGGAACTTTGTCAACCAAGCACTCTCCACCTTTGCTCTGCAATAGATCCATGAGAGCTGATTTGTTTGTTTTGGCAAGTGAACCATCAGCACTTGCTAATGGATATGACACAGTTCCCAAGGAATATGACAGAATTTCCCTCATTTCAATTTTCCTGCTCTGGCCAAGGATGAGGAGCCTGGAAAATAACTTCTTGTCAGCACGCAAAATCACTTCCTTGCCTGCTGCAGATTTTTTGGGGGGCTTTTTCTGATCACTGAGAGTCTTGAGTTTTTGTGATATTATGGGGGCAAATATGTCAACTGTTTTGGATAACAGTCTCTGCTCCATAAACTCCTTTACAGCATTTTCACCCTTTTCTGAGGCAACAAGCAAATCCTTTGTGATTTCTCCTGTTGCTACTCTTCCAGAGCTAAGACACACAATGCCGTCTTGGTGTACATCAAAAGGGTTGAGCATGGAATCAATAGTGTCCAAGATTCTACTCACAGCCTTTGCATCAGCAGAGATGCGTGTCTTGTCCAGGTCTTTTCTTGTCCGTAGCTCAGGAGATATCCCTGCCATTGATTCACACTGTCTTGCTATCGCGGCTCTTTCATGCTGTGACAGTATCCAGCGATACACTGCAGACCGATTTTGTGTGATCCCTGTCCAGCCACCTTTGGTCTTGGCATCTCTGTTAAGCGTTTGCTCAATAGCCTGGTCGCAAGCAATGGAGGCAAATCCATGAACACTTTGTCGCTGGACAGTCCACTGGCCTTTCACATTCATGTCACTGTGGCAAGAGGGATGTGTGACAGGCAGATTCATCATTTCCAGCCAGTATGCAGGTAAATATCGAGCGTAATTTACTCTATCGTAGGCAAAAAACCATGGCATCATTAACCGGACGGTTGACAGGTGAAGCTGCCAGTTTGATTCTCGCGTTGCTCTCACAAACAGGAGGAGTAGCTGCATCATGTCAATGTATGAGCTCCAGAAAGCAAATGTTGCATTCTCTGTACTCCTCCTCTGCACAAAGTCTGCATATTTCGAGCACATATTATCAAACCTCTGATCTGCACTCAAAACATCCATCAATCTGTCTGGAAAGGCACATTCCATCTCAGTGATGACATCCATGCACGCAGCTCTCTCTTGGGGTGGCAAGGAGTCCATGAAGGTGATAAACCGGATGCGCTGCAGACTCTCATATAGAAGTTTATGAGCCCTCATGCTGCGATTGTAGTGATGGCCATTGAGTACCCCATTGATGGATCCTGGGGCAACAACTTCAGATTCAATGAGGATATCTTGCAGTCCTGCATCTCCGAACCTTTTGCCTAGAATACTCAGGTAGGACATGCATGTATGGAATTCACCTAGTCTAATCACTAGACGCTTTGTAAACTCAACATCCTTCCAGCGTATTTGCTGTGCTTTGGCATATATAGCCTGGTCAAACACTAAAACTATATGATCCAGTTCTAGCTGGTCAGCAATCTGGACACTTCGCTTCAGGATAGTGTTGACTGTTGACATCTCTGTTGGTGAGGCTTCAATGACTGGAAGATAATACAATGCGGACTTCTGCAGAGTGTTTTCATCCTGAAGCAGTGTATGGAACCCTGTCCAGCTTGGGATTGTACAACTATCCGTACATGTGGACTTCACAAAAGCATATGCCATTTCAGCTTGTGCAGCAAAGTGGGTGTTCATTCTGCATGTCGCTGACTGCACTGGTTGACACAAGTTCTGTGGCCCTTGCCTTTTGGACTGATGGTAAGGTTGTATAGGCATTGGGGGGGGGCTATGAATGAGGTAACTCCCTTTCTCAGTGGCTGTCTGATTGCTGTGGACATAGGCTCGCCGGGCACACTCTGGAGCATAATTCCATTTGTATGGTGAGTAGTTCCACGACCCGATAGTGTCTCCTCACCAAAGTCAATGTTATCCCACACAAGTGTTGTGGGTGTCCGCTTTGAGAATCCCTTCGGTATTTTGTCTCTGCCTTCTACTAGTGTCAGTTGGGCAAGGCTAGTGTCTAGACTCAAAACTGTGTCCCATGATGCACAATGTCCCAGTCTGTTAAGCAGTGATACAATGCGTGATGATCCAGTTAAATGTCGAACAGTTAAACCTAAAGCCAAGGACTTGGGTGTCTGCTTGCGGCCCTTGGAAGCAAGGTACACAATGTCTTGACAAACAGACAACACTTTCAAATGTACGTCATCATCAATGTTGACATAATGATCCAGTGTTGGCTCCTCAGTGGAACCTATAATCCAGCTGAGCAGATTGTATAGTCCAATGGGGACAACAGTTTGAGATTCAGTGACATTTACATTTTCAGAAGTGGGAGGCCATGGGCATGACATGCCAGGAGTGTCACTAAGCAGTCTTTTCAAAAACAACGCTGCTGTATACAGTGTCCTTGTGTCCTCATGTGTTGTTTGGCACTTTGTTCTCCCTGTTTCATTGTCGCTGTCTGTCTGGCTCAATTCACTGGACTGTGTTGTTTCCGTACCGGATGGATCTGGTAGCATGTCCACGAGTGCATCCTTTGACAGAGTCTCAGCAAAAACCAGTTCGCAGACGTTGCGCTTGGTGGGCATGTGAAACGCTAGCTGAGGGAAATCTTGAGCCAGCCTCTTCTTCAACAGATCCTGTCTGTAACACAACAAAACAGTGACAATTACGAGTCACAGGAGTACCATCAAAAGCAGAGTGGTGGAGGTGATACAAGACATTACAGACTAGAACCTATCTGCCATACAGCACATTTAACACCAAAGAAGCCAAATAAAGGCCCACATCATCACAAACAACACTACACACTACACATCATGGGGGTTTCTCCAAACAGGCCTGTCATACACATTTTGTTTAAAGCTGGCCTTGCACATGATAAATAATAAGACTTGTATTACATTGCAGTTACCTGTAGTTTGAAGCATCAACACCTTCGTTTGCTTTCACCATGTCAATGAAGGCCTGCCTCAGCTGGCCCATTCTAAGCACCTCATTGTTGACAAGCAGCCTCTGGCGGATGATCCTCTCACAGAACAGCTTGTAACTGGCATCAAACATTGCCTCATCCCTACAACACATGAATGAGAAGTAAATAAATGGATAAATGAATAAGTGTTGTGATTGTGTGCACATATAACAGAAGGAAATTGGATGTTTACTTATAATGTTAAGTATGTGTATGTGTATATATATATATAGCCATCGCCGACACACACCTGGACTTCAGTCTGGTGGTAGTGCAAATAGGTAAAGCAATCCAAGGAGAAATAACTTACTGTTCTGTCTCTGGTTTGTCAGGTCTCAGCAAAAACATGGTGTACTGACTGTAACAGCTTTTGTGGTACCGCACCTCCAGAGCCACACAGTCTTTGTCTTTTATATGTAAAAGAACACTTTGGTCATCTTTCTTCTCAGCAGCTTTCTGCAATTTGCCTAAACGGAAAAAAAGGACAACTCAATGAGTTTGTTGACGTATCTCTCACACATAATTGTACCTTTCAGTTATTCAACCACAGAGAATGTGTGTGTGTGTGTGTGTGGTGTGTGTGTAGTGTGTGTGTGGTGTGTGGGTGGGGGAGGGGGTTTGCTTACCTGCTTTTAATGTTTCAGCCTTACACAGTTAATCCCTTTGTCGCTTGCCTGCTTTGATGATCATTTTCTCCTTCATCTTGCATATAATGCACAGGGCAGGAAGGACGGGGCCAGAGCCTGCGATTGGCAGGCCTGACCTTGATCGTAGCTTCTCTGTTTGGCTTCGGTACGTGCTGCGAGACGTCGATGGGATGGGCTCGACCTCAAGGTCCTCCCTAACGTCTTGATCTCCCTCACGTGCGAGCCGTCTTTCCACCTTCGTCATGGCCTTTGTGTCGGTAAACCTTATGTAGCATGTGTGGTGGAAGCCAGCGTCCTCAGGAATATCTTCGAACTCGAAATCAAGACAGTGCTTGTGGTTTTCAGCCACCACGTTCCGAGAGTCTCCCTTCAAGCCGAGCGACCGTTGTAAGCTTGTCCTGTACGTATTCCATCTTGTATTGGTAAAACAATCAACCTTTTCGTGCTTCACAGACGTAATATGCATGTAACAATGTTTGTGTGTTGACAATTTTGACTTTTTGAGACTTTCTGGTGCGTTTTCCTCGTCTCCGCTACTCGATGAAACCATGGCGGCCGCCATCTTTCACTTCTGTTGACAATATGCAGCTACCCAATTGGTGTAGCACGATCACGTGATGAACCGTGGCACGACTTTGGACCAAGATATTATTACGCTTCGAAGGGAATAGTTCAGCCAATAATTACGTGCCTAGAAGAATTGGCAGGAATTTTAGCGACGAAATTTTTTTTGGTGGATAAGCATGAATCGTTCTTTTTTTTGAACTAAAGATTGTGTAGTTTCACTTCTGTGGAGCGGGATTTCTTTTCTAAAGGACTTTTCGAGGTTCACCTTGCGGCCTATTTGCTCATCTGCTGCACAGGAAGGCGACAGGAGCAATGCGCTGAATGGTGCCGGGAAGCTTTTCGCCGCTTGGCACGGAACTACGTTCTTCTAACCCCCAAAACACACCAGGAGCGTCTGCGTCGCGTTACGGCCGCGCCGCGGCGGTCGTAAGGATCGCGGCCACTCTAGTCAATGGGTGCTATTACACCACACGCGCCGCGTTACCCCCAAAACACACCAGGAGCGTCTGCGTTGCGTTACGGCCGCTCCGCGGCGGTCGTAAGGATCGCGGCCACTCTAGTCAATGGGTGCTATTACACCACACGCGCCGCGTTACGGCTCAGACGCGTCCCAGAAGCGGCTCGGCGCAGCGCTTCTCTAAAATTAGGATGAATCCTATTTTTGCCGCGGCGCAGCCGTAAGGTAAACTCCTCCCCCCATCCCCCTGTAGTCTTTCAAGTAGGAGAATACATGCCAGCGTTCTCCTCCGGTTTACAGGCACTGTAAATTATATATATATAGAATAATTATGATGATGAATGCATATTTTTTTACCACTAAAATACAGCAACCCATCTTTGATTCATGTCGTTTATAACTGGAATATTACAATTATTATTAACTGTGTCTGTAGTCTACAACACAACAAAATAGGAAATAACAACAATAAACACGATTTAAACAGACACAAACATAAACCATTTAACTACGTATAGCCTACTTACTTGTAGAAGTACAAATGTCCAGGAAATATTACAAAATCAACAACAACTGCGAGGCTGCACACACGACGCTCCGCTTCCGCAACGTTTTGAAACGCGTCTGGTGTGTGTTGTCGCAGGACGAGGTCGCAGCGTGGCGCAGCCGCAACGTAACGCGGCGCAGACGCTCCTGGTGTGTTTTGGGGGTGAGGAGGTATGTGTAGCGCGCTACAACCGGTTTAAATGGCCATAGGAATTAAGTTGTGTGCACACATAAGGGGCGTAATTCCAATGCATTGGTTGTGAAAGGGATGAACAATAAGCGCTTGTATTGTACTGATTGATTTGTGACAATCCGTTTGACTTTTCAGACATTCAAATATGGAGCAGCGCGCTGCGGACATACCAGCAGCTGACAGCGCGTCAGATTACGCGCAGACAGCTGCTGGCAAGCTGGATAGCGTGGCCAGCTGTAGTGATGCGGAAAGCACTAAGCGGGTAGTTAAACTCTCTGCCAAAGCACTTGCGGAAAAACTTGAGAGTTTGCAAAATGGCAGAAAGGCTAAGCTAAATAAAGCTAGCAAATTAAGAACAAATATAAAAGATATGATGTTAAGTGGTGAACATGCTAAGGTTCACAATGCTCTTGATGGTTATATTGAATTGTGTGTTGAAGCCAGGTCTATGCATGACACTTTAATGGGTTTATTGCCACATGATGAAAGGGAAAGACATGAAACATGGTTTAAAGCCAAAATGATGTTCAATGATGAATTTATTGTCCAAATCAAGGTGTGGGTTTGTGAAACTGAAGGTACTGGTGATAATGATGAAATCAATCCTGATGACAGTGTTTCTAATGTTGGTAAATGTTCAAACAAAAGTGACAGCAGTACAAAGTCAAGTACAACTTCATCTGCACAAATTATAGCAGCAGCAGAAAAGGCTGCAATTGTTGCTCGCATGGCAGGTTTAACTGAGAGGCATGCACTGGAGGAACAGGAGCTACAATTAAAGCTACAATTAAAGCGGAGAAAGGAACAGCTTGAGTTGGAAACTGAGCTAGCTGTATCTACTGCTAGGCTAGCAGTTTTACAGGGTTCACATTCACGACGTTCCTCTCTTGCACCAACAAATGGAATGAACTCATACCTGAAAAAGAAAACTTGCGTCGTTAAACATACTTAACCCCCTGGCAAAGGAGTATGATTCCACATCATGGAAAATATCCTCCAGCAAACCAACAAAGATGGACATGGAACCAAAGCAAGCTGAAAGGCAGTTTGCATTTAAGGAAGATGCTTATGTACAAAATCAACATTATCTGGGAACATCACATGGGTTGATAACTGGTGAATCAACTGCATGGGAAAGTCAACAGGAAAATCACCATCAGCAAATCAATCGAATTCCACCTGAAGGTTTATTCACGATAAAGCAACATGAAATAACAGCTGCACTGGTTCACCAGCAACGTTTACTGTCTCTACCAGCAAGAGACATTCCTATCTTTGATGGAGACCTGTTTCAGTACAAGGCTTTCATTAAAGCATTTGAACAAGGAGTGGAAAACAAAGCCAGCAAAGCCGACTGCTTGTACTATTTAGAACAGTTCACAAAAGGACAGCCACAGGAACTGGTTAGTAGCTGCCAGCACATGGCTCCAGAACGTGGATACATTGTGGCAGAGAGTCTTTTGCAAGAACATTTTGGGAATGAGTACAAGATCGCTGCTGCTTACATAGGAAAGGCTCTAGCTTGGCCAACAATAACAAAGGCAGAAGACATTAAAGCACTACAAGCCTATGCTTTATTTCTGCGTGGATGTGCTAATGTGATGGAAGAACTTCAGTACATGCAGGAGTTGGATATGCCCTCCAATATGAAAATGGTTGTCTTCAAGTTGCCATACAAACTAAGGGAACAATGGAGAAACAAAGCTCATAACATCATGGAAGCCTCAAACAACAGAGCTCATTTCATTGACTTGGTCAAATTCATTGAGAGACATGTACGAGTCCTTTCTGATCCGATCTTTGGAGACATCGAGGATTCAGGACATAAATCAGTTGCTATAAAATCTTCCAACATGTTTCAGCCACATTCAAAGAACAGAATGAAAGGAAGTAGTTTTGCCGCTACAGTATTCCCAATGAGTGAGGTCGGAATTAAAACGACAAATAACTCAAAACCACAGGAGAGCTTGGTGTGTCATTGTTGTGATCACAACACTCACGTTTTGGACAGATGTAAGCAGTTCAGCAAAAGGAAGCACAGAGACAAAATTCAATTTCTAAAGGAGAAAGGAATTTGCTTTGGATGCTTGTGTATTGGACACATAAGCCGGGACTGTAAACAACGCTTGATCTGTGAGGTTTGTGAAAAGCAACATCCTACTGCGCTCCACATAAATACATCTAATGTGGAATTGGGACAAACCGCTAAATCACAAACCCCCCCTCAGACATGTGGACGTACAGGGGCCGGAAATGATGGCTGCATTCTTTCAATTATTCCAGTGCAGGTCAAGTCCACAAAGGGAAGTGAGATTATACAGACCTATGCATTTTTAGATCCTGGAAGCACAGCCACATTCTGCTCAGAAGATCTCATGCACAGATTAAACATCACAGGAAAAATAACTAATTTTCTTTTGAAGACTATGGGACAGAAAAAGGTCGTTCCAGCTTACTCCTTAGCAGTCAGTATAATCATGACTTTAATGAAAAGCCCTCAGAGGAAAAAGAGATGTCAAGGGAAGACCAAAAATGTATGGAAATCATGAATACATCTGCAACACTACAGGACAACAGGTACAGCCTGAAGTTGCCCCTTAAGACACCTGACGTCCTTCTTCCAAACAACTTTGCAATGGCAAAGCAAAGGCTACTTGGATTGAGGAAAAGATTTGTGAGTAACCCAATGTTGCATAAGGAATATGCCAGCTTTCTGAATGGAGTGATTAAAAAGGGTTATGCTGAACAGGTACCAACACAGCAGCACTGTGGCAGTGGAAAATTAAGGTACATCCCACACCACAGTGTTTACCATCCACGAAAAGGTTCTCTCCGAGTGGTGTTTGACTGTGGTGCCACATTTAAAGGAACATCATTAAACAATGTACTTTATCAAGGTCCCAATCTCACCAGTTCACTGCTTGGAGTTCTCACTCGTTTCAGGCAGGAACCTGTGGCATTCATGGGCGACATACGGGCTATGTTTCACCAGGTCAAAGTCACAGAA